CGATTCCTGCTAAACGCACTTGCAGAGAGACACGGAAAATTTTAACTGTGAATAAGTCCTGAACCGGATTAGACGGTCCTAGTAATATGGTGCAGATACCAGTGGTTTTACACAAAAAAATATATATAAAAATTGAAAAATCTTTTGATGAAGACAATAGTAATATATAACATCAATTAAAGGTAATGTTGTTGTTGTTGATGTGAATTTTTTTTGTGTTGCCTAATTTTGTTGAAGCAATGTATACAAGTTTTATTGGTATTGGGCCCTTGTCGCTATTACTTTTCTCCAATAATGCAAGATATTTGGATTCTGACCTTAACGGTCTCTAATCTTTGAATGCTTTCATTTCGTATTCAAGTACTATAAATAAATACATGGTTAAGGCTAACTCTTTTATTATTTTGTCTGAGTAAAATATTTTTATTTCACATTACTAATCTATTATTCAATTCAAAGGCCCAATTACTTGGATATTTCTGGGACTATCACCCTCTCAAACTTTATAAAATTCAACTTTTTATATTCACAAATTCTTTTTTTTTTTTTTTAAATATACATATTTACCTTCCTTTCCTAAAATTTAAAATTTTGTTTCATTCCTAAATTGTTTTCTCTAATTTTATCGCCTAAATTTTTAAATTAAATTTAAATTTTTAATATGATAAAAATTCATCTATTTGCACATTAAGACATAGTTTAATGGTAAGTACATTTATAACTAGCTATAAATTTAAATTCAAATATCCCGTTGAAATAGTAAAAAAAAAAAAAAAAATTCATCCCTTCCTTTGAGGTAGAACAACCTCCCCAGTAGAGGCATTATAATATGAAAATCAATAAAGAAATGGCAATTGGCATAAAAGTCTATAGTGGGAGGCGGCTGTCGTTTGTACATGTAGTGTAGGGGTGGTGAGTGGTGGTGGTGGGTAGTGGCCAATCTATATTTTTGTGGATGAATATGTTACTTTCATATCTGTTTGGTCACCAATTGTAGGACCCACTAAATCTCTTCTCCTTTTGTTTTTGGTTCCGATTTCACCCACTCAATCCTTTAACTTGCCCCATCCTCAACGTTGTCTTCATTTAAGAGTGCATTGTATTAATCCACGATACCATTGTATCAAACCTAAAGATTTCCATGTCAATGGTGGTAAACTAATTGATTTTCTCATTTATATATAGAACGAAATATCTCGAGTTTGAATTTGAATTTGAATTTTTTTAATCACAATTGTGAAAATATTTTAGACTAGCCGGAGTGACGACGAGAGCTATCTCTTCCTCCGTCCCTGATATATGCACGTACTTTTTTATTGTTTGCTTTTAGACTTTGAACCTAATTAATAAAAGGATGACAAATTTTAGTGCAAAACAAGTTAATAGTATTGTTATGGTTTTCGCTTTGTTCTGATCTTTCTTTACTATAAATGGCAAAGTAGTTGAGTGATGTTTTGTTTGATATTTATGTTATTGTTTTTCCTTACTTATTTTAAACTAATACGTGCAATCCCACTTTGAGTTATAGCACTTGAAAATTTTTATCCTTCCTAATAAGTGTAGCTTTTGGAAATTAAATTTCTATTTTAATTTTTATAAAAATTAACGTTACTTACCATTCCAATTGGCACATAGTAATAAAATTAGAAATTAAAAATTTAATTAAATTAAGTCAAATTCAAGTAAAGTAAATTACTTGAATTTAAATATTTAAATTTTGTAAGTTAATTTAAAAAATGGCAGAATTTCAACTTTTTTTACACAAAATTAAATCGAAAATCAATTAAAATATTGAATTTGACACGAAGGAATTAGGTAACGGTTAAATAAATTTATTTATATGCATGAAATAATCCTTGAATAAGCTCAAATTTATAAAATTTTTTAGAATATGCTAATATATAATATAATATAAGATAATACTAAAAAATAAAGTAAGATATTTTAAAAGAACGAGAATGGAGTAATTAATTTTTGATATAATACGAAAATACATTTTCCCTAAATTTTACTATCACTTTGTGCAAAAAGAAATGTGGTCATTGCTTATATATATATATATATATATAATCTATTTTTGTATTTTTATCCATTAGGATTTTCTTTTTTCTGTATCCAAAAGCACACGGACAGCCGCCGGTAAGCAGTTGAACACAGAGACGCGCATTTAAATGATTGAAGGGTCAAATCCAAAAATGTGTGAGCAAGAAAGCATGCAATTCGAATTTAGATGGGGCCCTTTTGTTATGATTAGCTGCTAAGCCACCGTCTGTTAATTATTGTAATTTACAATAATGGCCTCCTCTCCTCCATTTGGTCACTGTTTTTTTTTTTTTAATCACAGATATACAGATCGTATTATCGACACTGTCTAATCTAATTTGAAATTTAACTACAGTTAAAACTTTTCACCTTATTATCACTCTAAATGCATTCTATCTTATATACGCATTTTATGTAGCTATAGATAGATGCGTCTTGCTCTAATTTTTATACACAATCTAGTGTTGTTCAATGTTGGGGATATAATTAATTTTGTTTTTTAATTAAATTTTCATCCATACTGTCTCATTTTATTAGTAATAAATATACTCTTATGTTTTAATTTATTACATAAAGTACACCAATTTTTTTATAATTATATAAATTCTGATACTAAAATTTACCAATTTTGATGATTATTTTAAACAAGTATATCATTATAGGTTTTTTTTTCTCTCTCTCTCTATCTTAGCCCTCGTCTGTCACTTTATCATTTTATCTCTTAATCTTTCAGTATATATTAATGTATTTCTCATATCTCTGTACATTTTTTTCGTTAGTCAAATATATATATTGTCTCTCTACTGTTAAAATTTTTGTTCTTGTACAAATAAATATTCAGTATGTTTTAAATTATAAGTTAAAATTTAGACATGTTTATTTGTACTAATGTCTGATGAAAAGTTACGTGCTATGCGATTTCCATTATTGAAAAGCGTATTTTACTGGGAGAGTAGATATATTTAAATATCATGTTTTATAAAAAAAAATAGTAAATTAAAAATCATTGTTGAAATTAAATATATTGATTTTACACATTTTAAAATATAAATTAAAAATTTTAGATATATGAATAATTAATAATCATAAATAAGTATGTTTGGACGATTTTAATTAAATATTTCAAGTCATTTTTCCAAAATTATAAAATGAATTAATAATTCAGTTTTTTTTTAACAATGAAAACAAATCCCTAACTTTTCAAAATTATAATTTTTAAATGGATTGAAATTAATTTGAGTAATTTGAGCGAGCAGTTTATAAATCAAGTGGAATTTTATTTATTTATTTATATTCCACTAAATTATTTTTCTTTTTCTTTTTTTTTGAAAATTATATTCAATGAATTCTTATTGGACGAGTTGTTTACTTTTCAAAGTGTGCCCCGGTTTAGCTACACTCGTACAAACCAGCAGTGATCAACGGCAGATCTTCATATTCTTAACTGGAAATAGAGATAACGGGACAAATGTCCAGCTCATCACAATGACAAAAGCAACTGTAGTCTAGTGTCCTACTTTAACCACATGTCGGGGTTTGGAAATTCCACAAAATGATACACTAAAATGTCACTATCAAAGACAAGGAAAGAATAAAAAATGAAAGAGCAAGAAGAAGATCTATTCAAAGTGCAACGAACCAAAAAACCACCAAATACTCTTTTTTTTATTATTATTATTATTATAATTTTATGTCATTATCTTAAAGCAATAATGCTAAATATCTTACATTGCTTTTCAATTCTTTGCGTGATACCCAAGGGTGATACTACCCCCTCCCCATTCATAAAAATCCAAAAAAAGAATTATATATATATATATAATAATCTAACCGTTCCGAAATATAAATGATTTTAAAGTGATTATTTTTTTTAAATATAAAATATTTTTTAATATTTTATGGAGTGATATATAATTTTTTTCAATTTTATTTTTATTTATATTAGATATAAAAATTATTTTTTACAATTAATTACCATTAATTTTACTATAAAAATAATTTAATTAAATTATCGTTATTTTTTTATAATTTAAGACAATCAATTATTTTTTTTAAATTTGCTTGTAAAAATCTTAAAGATTTTCATCAAGCCATATTGATTAGAAAAAAAATAAAAAGAAAAAAGAGCTTAGATATATGTCAAAATCAAAACCAAAATGACTAATCAAAATCGGCCTAATTTGAGTCAATTAGTCAGTCTCATTTCCTATTTTTAGTTGACCTTGCTCCCAAATCAATCATGACTAAATAATACTCTTTTTATTATGTTAAATTTTGATATTTTTAACTTTTTTTCTTATTCTATTTAGATAATATTTTTAAAATTTTAAAATAAATTAATTATTTTATTTCAAATTTACCTTTATTTAGATATTTCTGCACTAAACTATGTCCTTATTAGGTGAATATTAATTAAAGAGTAATTTAGTCAATTGTTATTGTCTTTTTCTAAAATTAAGATCATTTAATCATTTTCTTAATTTTTATAAAAAGTCCTAAAATTAGTATAAATATAACTTAATAAAAAAGCATTTAATTGGTAATCTAATAATTGAAATGCGGTTATTATGTTGATAATTCAATTGTCAAGTTTCTAAAAATTTTTAATACAAAAAAATTAGTAATTGAGATATGTTCTCATTATTTGAAAAATAAAAAAATAAATACTAATAGCTTTTAACTTTTTAAAATTATTAAATATGTTGAAGGTAATTTGATAATTCATAATTCGATTGTACTTTGTATTTATTTATATTTTTTCATGTCGAGAGAGGAGACAATGGATAAGCATCAATTGCTGAATTAAATCTACTAATATTATATGACTTTTAATTTTACTTATGATACTAATTTAATATATGTTGATTTTTTTTAAAAAAAAATTGTATTAATATCACATATCAATTATCTCAAATCATGTAATAAAAAATAAACAATCTCTCAACTTCGTACACGTGTTTTATAATTATAAATTCACTTATTTGCATCACTCAAAACAAAAATTTACATTTAAGTAATAATAATTCTTCAATTTCATAGCTATAATTACAAAAATCCTTATAACACGTGACCAAATTTAATCGCCGTATAATTTCCTATAACTAAACCTTTAATTACACTCCGTAGTAAGAACGAGGGCACTTTCGGAAGTCCGCAACAACTTCCATTTCCTTTGCTTCTTTTTTTGTCGCCCTTAATAGCGAATGACAAGACGCCATATCATGATTGGGAAGTTCAAATTACCAAACACTCACCAAACATCCCACAAAATTACTAGACAGGACTTCAGACTGATGCGGTTGCATTTTATACTAGTACTCTAATTAAGCTATAACGTCGACAAGGAAATCGTCAAGGTCAACGAATTCTTCGCGGCCAAAATTCTTCGCTGTTAACATAAAATCCTCTAGATTTAACCCTTCAATATCGAATCCAAAAGCGTCCACGTCGCCGTAACTGAAACCATCAAACGGCGTTAGTTCTTCGTCATATCGGAGGACAGACGTAGGCGACGAAGTGACAATACTGGTCGTCGGCGAGTCACAGGATTCAGAACCGCCGTCCTTTTGACGATCTACAACGTTTCCCGTCATAACTGAGTTAGGAAAGTTGGTCACAGCATTAGGACCTTTTAGCTTCACTGCAGCTCTATCGTATACGGTAGCAGCTTCCTCAGCTGTATCAAAGGTGCCAAGCCAAACCCGTTTCCGGCGGGTCGGGTCTCGAATCTCAGCAGCCCAACGGCCCCAAGGCCTTTGACGGACACCACGGAACTTATTCCGGCGAGTGAGTCCAGATCCCGGCGATCTTGAAGTTGTCGTTTTAGTAGGCTCTTGTTTAGTAGCAGTAGTAGTACTAGAGACTGGTGGTCTCGTTGACTCGTAGCTTATTTCTGTGACCAGCCTCTTTACTTTCTTCACAAATTTCTTTTCCTTTACTGGCTTTTCGTTTTCGTGCCTTTTCTCTTCTTCTTCTTCGCTAGAGGAATCAGTAGCATAAGGGTCGGTTAAGATGATTCGGACGAGTCTTCTTTTAGTGTTGGTATATACCTGCTCGGTCTCAGATTGTACGGACATAGTAGATCGGACGAAGGATGATGTTTCGATCATGACATGAAGAGTAAAACCCAGAAAGAAAAAGGAGAAATAGCTATTTATTTTTAGGTGGGAAGATGGTAACCTGCATCTGGCAATCAGTTCAGTAAAGTTTGTGATTTTGGCGGGAAATGAAGAGAAAGGCTTTTGCAGGGTTCAGTAACAGAGAGACAGAGAGAGAGAGAGAGTCTCGGTGAGTGTTAAAGAAAACGTAAAAAAGATAAAAAGAGGAGAGGAGAAGAGAAGAGAAGAGAAGGATCGAGGAAATGAAGCAGAAGAGAGAGTGGGTGAGTGATATATATAGGGAGAGAAGCACTGAAAATTCTTTTTATTTGTTTTTGTTTTCTGTAATTTCTTTTCTTGTCAACAGACTTTTAAAAGTGAAAAGTCAGACCATCAATTACCGGTTTCATTTACTTTTAATTTTATGTTTTATAAAATATATATATTTTTTATTTTCAACATTCAATTCAATGAATATTTAATATTCTATAAAAAAATTCATCCAATAACCAACATTCAAAACAAGGGTACATATGTTATTTACTTAATTTCAAATTTCCTTACCTATTATATAATTTAATAATAATTGCTATTGAAAAAGAGAATTGGAATATCTCATTCGGGCTTCTAAACATGCCCTAAAATCACAAATCAAGTGAAATTAGAAACAAATATAAAAAACAATTATAATGGGATGAAGGTAATAATTTCTGTCAATTATATCCTTTTAATAATTTAATCAAATGAAGAAGTCTTTTAGATTATTTAATTACTTTTTTAATTATCATGTAAAAATCTTAAAAATGAACGGAGAAATAATAAATAGCCAATAATTATGGTTTAAAACTAAATTTTCGAACTTAAATCGATTTCAATCTCAAATAGGGATGTAAGCAGAATAGATATTTAGATTATTCCGATATAGAAAATAAGAGGAATTTCCATTACAGATAATCAAATTCATAATTTAACTAATGAAAATCGAATGGATAACTTAAAATCATTAATTCCGCAGAGTTCTTTCTGAGTTATGAGTTGGGTTACAACCAAGCGTATTCAATGACGAGTCCGATGTTGAAATTGGTACACAAGTAGTCTGGTACTACTGTAGGTACCTCCGGCAAGTGGTTGTCGGTTTGACCATTGACCTGTCAAAAGCACTGTTGTTTAACACGTAACGCACTTATTAGGTTATTTCTGGAACCACGACAGGTCGTCTTTGCACTTATTAGGTTATTTCTGGAACCACGACAGGTCGTCTTTTATTATTGCTACTTTTGATAGTTTCTATCAAAGGCTTCAAAGACAGTTTTTTATTTATTAATAGGGTAAAGAAGTTTCCATATGATGCTGATTTGGCATTTGATGATTTTTCTACGGAGTTCCTGTAATTTTTTTGAAAAAAAAAATATTTTTTTTGACTTCTTTAAAATGAAGGTCGACCCTTTGTGCAGTGGAGAAATTAAATTTTACGTATTAGACAGCGAAAATAAAAGTAAAAGAAAATTGGGGGTATATATATATATATATATCAGGAGAGAAAAATGATTTTGAAATTTTAGAGGGCAAAAATACAAATATTTTGCAAAATATATCAAATTTAGAGGAAAAATTTTTTTGTTTAATTTTAGAAAATTGCCCCTGCTTTTCTAAAAAAAAAATAATTGTAGAAACTTTATCTTATAATTCAATTTTAAAAAATAACCTATTACTACTTGAAAGAATTTTTTTTGCCAAAATTATCTCTCAATAAAAGATTTCAATTCTTTATATTTAGATTTTTCATTTTTTTTTTGTATAATTATGTTATGATTTATTTATATTATGTCAGTTAAAAATGAATTGAGAATTTTTTTTTAAAAAAGATTTCAATTTAAACTTAAATCTATTATGCTTTAAAAATAATTTACAAGCCAATCAGGTGGTGATTTGGTTGGTCCTTTTACTTATGTAGGGAATGAAAGGTTTCGAATTCGAGTTCTTTTAACCACAATTACTATTTGGCCCCATAAAAGTATGAAAAATATTAACAATAATAGTAGCTTTTAGTATTTTAATTTTTTTATGAAAAATATAAATTAATTAATTTAATTAAAATGTTTAATAAAATAATTTATAAGTTAAAATATTTAATATATATAATTTTATAAATCCATAAATGTTTGATAAATTAAAATGAAAGTCCAAAATGCCCTCAAAAGCAACCGAAAGGTTCGTTAGCTAAAGAAGAGGAGGAAACTGCTGCTGCGTCATAGCACGCTTGTGAACAGAAATAACAGAAAGAAACGTGACCAAATCGAATTACTATTTACCTCTGGCATTTTTACTGTCTATTATTATGTCTCATAAAGTGTGATTACAAATCATTGGGACACCTTTGTACCTTTTAACCGTTTTTCATTTTTCAGGCCATCTGGTGTCGAAGTCGATTGGTGGGATTAATTTGGATTTGCACGGGATAGATCCGGAAAGAGACAAAGCGGACTCTCATTTCGTAGTTACAAAAAATAAAATGTATTCTTGTAATTGTATGATAAAGTATGTTTTTATCATAATATTTCCAAAATAAAAGTAAATTTTTTTTTTTTTTTTACTTTTGATATAAGAGAAAAATAAATAAGGAGTTCTCATTTCACTTTAAAAATTCAATTGTTAAGTTTTTATCGAGTGGATGTAAAATGTAAAACTCTTAAAAATAATTACTATATAGTTCTTATTGTTAGGTGAAATCTCCGATAAGAATCTCAATTTTTATAATTTTACGTTATTATCTTTTGGTATTTTATAAATATTTAATGAAAAATTAATCATTAGACTTTATTGTGTAACGAAAATAAGAACTAAATAATGTAATTTTGAAAATGAAGTTCCTTATTAGTGTATTTGTTAAAACTTACAAATTATATCGTAATTACCCCCACAATAATTTTGATAGTATATTTTTTTTTTTGAATATTTAGACTTCATTTGATATAAATGAACTTAAGATATGGAATTTATTTGCAAATGAATTTTAAATAGAATTAATTTGTGAAAGAATTTTTCATGTTTGGAATATGAAAATTCATTTGCTTTTATTCCTAAATTACCCTTGGCATAATTTTTTTTCGGTATAAACCACCTGTATCCAGACCCAATTATCACAGATTGCCTAATCCGACTCGGGACTCAGTCACAATTTTATTTCAAAAGTTTCACCTTTTCTTGGTAGATTTTAGTTTAATTATATTCAAATTCATATAATTGAATTCGTAAAATTTAATTCTTTATTTTTTTTCATACCAAACATAAAAAATTTTAGATTTGTAAACGAATTTCCATAAAATTTATACGCCGTTCTGCGGATTATATGACCCATGCGCTTTTAGGTTGGTTGAATTCTGTAAGTGGCGTAGCTACCGAGATCAATGCAGTATGGAATTAATTTATTCCAAACAATGAGTTGGCCTTTTTTTTATATATTATTTACAAGATTTTGGAAAATGAGTTTGTGAAAGACATAATACACGGGAGTCAAGGTATAAAATAAAAGCATGAACAAGAAATTTTATTTCATTTCACAATAAAATAATAATTCTCCAACATTATAACATAAAGACATTCCTTTTTCATTTTAATAGGAATCAAATCAACAAAACATAATTATAACTTGGAGTAAGAAAAAGAAAACACAACCAAATGCAAAACAGGGACACATTGGCAAAGCACATTCAAATTAATAAGAATTAATAGTATAACTTTGAAAGAGAAATATAAAACTTTGAGTTGGTTGTTAGCTTAAAAAGAAAGCAAAAGGACACTATAGTACCCATTAAATTGGAGGTATGAGTCAGTGACTGACTGATCATCCAAAATCCAATTGCTTAAAAACAAAGTGATATGGTGATAATACATTTTTATATAAATATTTAAAAATAATTTAAGACTATAAATCATGAAATATCTATCAATAATTTTCAAAGAAACTATCATAATCTCATGCCCTACATATGCAACAGTTGAAACCATGCATTTCACAATGGAGTTTTGAAGTTTAAATAGTTAAAAATTAGGTTCCCTTAGTACAAAAGTTTCATATATACTTATCTCTTTAAGGTTGGTTGGGGCCACTAGGAGATTGCACAAGTTCCTGTTAATGTCACAATTCAAACAACATAATTATGTAACACATCACAGTCATTATAGTTGTACAATCTTAATCCCATTTTCAATTCTACTATTAACACATAATGCCACTTTAATATATATAGTTGTACCAACGCTACTTTTATTTTCGATGAACCCCTTAAATTTTTTATTCAATTAATATACCCTTTTTTTATAATTATAATAAATTTTTTAAACATCTATCCACTAAACATATAAACTATTTAAAAATATAATTTTTAAATCCTTTACCAAAACAATTTAATTGTTTATTTTTAAATTGACTTGCAAGTTAAAAATAAGCAAGGCAAATTAAACGCTCTAAATTCAATCAGTCAAGATCAATTTGTTTGTATCTTCAGGGATAAAAGAAAACAGCATTTTAATAAAGTTTTCTAGTAAAGATCAATGTGCCACAAGGTTTGTTTTGTAAAGTTAATAAGTGAATTCATATAATAATAATGAGTTTCAAATGAGAAATAATAATGTGCATAAGCAACAAAATTGAAACAGTAAAAGAAGTCTTTCATATCCTTTCTGTAATTCATCAATTCCTAAGGGAACTCTTCAGCACAACAGATACATATTCTCCCTCCTTGGCAGCAACAACGTTTTCTTTTTAATCCTTAAATTGTATATTACAAAACATTGCAGCGTCTCAAAATCTTACAATTTCACAAGTGCTAAAAACAGGCTACATGTAAAACTACAGCAATGGAGATCCATATTAGTTAAAACCTCAGAGGGATTTTTTGTTATTCACCTGTTAACATTTCAGTATGCAACTTTCTTTTGACCAGTCAGTAAGGTTTGGCTTATTGAAGAATCAAGAATGTCACTACTACTACCTAGCAAAGTTCCGTAAGGTAAGGTACCTAATCCGACTCGATATTCAAAGCATTCAACATTACACAATAAGTAATCAAATTAAAGGCAAAAGCAGCTCACCAAACAACAAGAGCAGGTTATATTACAAGTTTTTACTACTCTCTCGTTCTTTCACTGTTCAAATAGGTTCAAATATATATTCACAGGCTAAGAAGATATTTTCCCAACTTTGTCTGCAACACAATGATACGAAAGAAACAAGGCATTTAGACCGCTTCCATTATTTTACCTAGCCAATATCACAATCAAGGGGTAGCAAACCATTTCTAATTCTGTATAGGTCTTGTTCCGTATTACCCCATGGCATATTTCTGTGTCCAGCTGCGAGCAGTGGCCTCATACTTGACCTTGTCAGTCTTGTACATGTGAGCGATTTCAGGCACAAGCGGATCATCAGGATTCGGATCAGTCAACAGAGAACATATAGACAATAGCACCTACTGAAAGAAAAAACAGATGGTTACTATGAAAGATTCCACTAGTACAATGCTAATACTTCTAGTGTTTTTGAATTTAACATGAAAGCTCATCCAAACTTCAAAACCATTTTAAATGTGCATTTAAATACCAGTTCGAGACAGTATATCTCACCATGTCTAGATATCTTACTATCAAAAATGTTAATGCAACTAAAACAGACATTGAAAAAGACTTGCAGCCCAACTGAATGGGCACAAGGGCAGAGCAAATTTGTAGTTTGGGTTGGGGGCCATAGAAAATAAGTAATTGACAATTAAGTTTCCTTGAATTATATTTGTTACTTGTGCATTTAATATATATATCCTTAAAATTGCAACTATTAACACACCACATTTAAAATTTTTTCATATTATGCCACAATTAAAAATATTTTTCTCTCATTTTTACATCCGCTCCCCCTCATATATGTTGGAAGTCTTGTTCTGCAACTGCTTGCTTGGGTACAAGCAGGAGTTGAAGGTCACTGTTGCAATTTCAGAACATTAAATAACATTTTAACTAGAAGAGATTCCTCCTTTGACTTCCATCATTTTACATTATTTTCTTACAAGGGAATTAAATATTATGTTCAGAAGGGGGAACATTCAAAAAGTATAACTACTTCATAGTCGTGATGGGAGATTAAAATTTAAGAAACTGCATACTAGAACATGTCACAACTCACAAGTATAGAGATCAAGGATGGTGATAGGTTAAGTATGGGGCTAGTTTTTTAATACCAATACCCGCCCGCAAGATTAAATGCAGGCACGGGGTGGAGCGAGTCAGTTTTAGTAAAAAAAAAAAAAAAAAAAGTCGTTGATGGGAGATTAAAAATTTAAGAAACTGCATACTAGAACATGTCACAACTTCACAAGTATAGGAGATCTAAGGATGGTGATAGGCTTAAAGTTATGGGGCTAGTTTATTTTTAATACCAAATACCCGCCCCGCCAAGAATTAAATGCAAGGCACGGCGGTTGGAGCGAGTTCAGTTTTTTAGTAAAAAAAAAAAAAAAAATAAGTTAGAAAATTAGTATAACATAGGCTAAGATTGCAAAAGGAAAAAAAAAAAAAAAAAAAAAAAAAAAAAAAAACAGAGCTTGTATGAGCAGGTCGGGTTTTATTTTTAAAAATCCATATCTACCCCATCTTCAAATGGATTGGGTTTTACCCACCCCAGTCAGATTGGGTTCAAATGGGTATCCAACAATCCTATCACAGGCTAGAAACAATTTGCAATACCTGACATACTACAATAATTCGCAGCAAACAAACTCAGGTACCACCATCAAGCAAACAAATACCAATGTGATCAATCTTATGATTTTTACCAGCATTACATAGATAATTTAATCTATCAACCTCACATTAGATAAGAAGCATCATATTTTTAACATTGTGCATCAGGAGCATATATTTATCCCACATACAGAGACAGAAAGAGAACAAGAGAGACCATATGTATACATCATATTTCCTTAAAAATGGTTGATCTGCTGATTGTTCATGAACATTCAATTTATCAAGCTTACCAATACCATGCACCTCAGTATGTAAAAACAAATCAAACCTTGGAGATAGTTAGCGCTGGGCTCCACTGTTCCTTCAGAATATCCAAGCATATGCTCCCATTACTATTAATGTTTGGATGGAAGACTTTTGTCCTAAATGCAACCTGATATATACATTCCATCATTAGGATCATATCTCCACAATGCCAAAACCAAATATTCAAAACGCAAGACATTGTCTGACCCCAAGAAAAATAAAGTACAACTACCATGAGAAATTGACAAGAAATAAATCAAAATTTGATTACTCCAACATATAAAAAATGGGGGGAGAGAGAGAGAGAGAGAGAGAGAGAGAGAGAGATGGACAGAAAAGGAGACTTTAAATACAAACAGCACATGCGTATCTGCCGGGAAAAGTACTAAAGATAACACTATACTAATAAATACTTCAAAAGTATCACCTTTCATATGCAAAGAGAAGCTCAAATATATCATTTTCAATTCAAGAATGTCATCAACTAACATATGTAGAACTAAAAAAAATATAAGAAAATCAGTAAACTTCTAGAAAAGATCAGAGAGAGAGAGAGAGAGAGAGATGGACAGAAAAGGAGACTTTAAATACAAACAGCACATGCGTATCTGCCGGGAAAAGTACTAAAGATAACACTATACTAATAAATACTTCAAAAGTATCACCTTTCATATGCAAAGAGAAGCTCAAATATATCATTTTCAATTCAAGAATGTCATCAACTAACATATGTAGAACTAAAAAAAATATAAGAAAATCAGTAAACTTCTAGAAAAGATCATATGATTTCCCATTTAGGTATACAGGTGATTGACTTTAGCTAGAGTAAACCTCACATCCTCCACGAATATAATTTAGCTATCACCCATTCTACTTTCTCTTTTACTTTGGGCTCTAGCACCGACAATGAAACTAACTTTGATCCAAAATTTCAGAATAGTGAAAAAATTATATAGCAAATCCTCGACAACTACCATATTTGAGCACGCTTAATAATTATACAAAGACCCACTAGATAATTATCCACAGTAGCCACTCAACACTTGAGAAAAGATGCAAATTGATAATTTAATGCATCTCTTATCAAATCAATTACCTTAGGAGGCTTAAAAGGATAATCAGGAGGGAAATGAATAGAAACTAAGAAGACTCCTCCTGCATAAGGACTATCAGTAGGTCCCATAATTGTTGCTTGCCAATGGAACATGTCCTCAGCCACGGGACCTATATCATTACGATGAGGAGATAAACATATATATCACAAATACATACACACAAAACAAATTAAAGTTAAAAATTGAAGATCAATAAAGCAGATAGCTATGGAAATTCGAAAATACCAGCACTGCAAGAGGTAGGAGGATCTTTCTGCAAATCTTTGAGCTCTTTGAGAATGCGCTTGGACGCCATGAAATCGAATTGATGAAATAAATCCTGAAACTCATAAGAACCAGTCAATCAGATACTAGATCAGTAACAGAAAGAGAGAGAAGGCAGAGAGAAAGACAGAGGGTAACCTGTGAGAGAAACAAAGGGTAACAGGAAGAACAGCAGATAGAGAGCACTTATAGGCCAGAGAGTAAAGAATTGGCTTGCTTCGGCTTCTAGAATTTTCGTTCTGGCATTGATTAGCGTAAGATCAACGTCCGTCGTACGCTTTATTCATTTATTTATTATTTATTCATTTTGGTTTAACCCAATATTTTCAAACCCGACCCGGTAAAGACAGAGGATCAAAAGTTAAAGGATTGATAAGTAATTAATTTAATATATATTAAATATTTTATTAAAAATAAATAATTTTATTAAAAATAAGAATACTAACATAGTTAAATTTCAGAATAATAATGAGTTTAGCAAATCATTGAAATAAAATTACATATTATAATATTTTGAAAAAAAAAAGTTAAAAAGTTTAGATTTAATAATTGCTACTTATATTCTAATAAAATTAGAGTGATTTTCAATAATTTCTACACATGATAGGTTTAATAATTATATTTTTTAAAGTTATGAAAAAGGTGATAGAAATTGAATAAAATTTTATCTAAGAAAAAACTTATTGATAATTATAATTATAATTGTTTTTTGCTCATTAATGAGTGATATATTAATTCTGAGAAAAAGTAACCTATTATTAAAATAATTTATTTAAACAATTTGACACGTCAATATATTTTTCTTAGTGGTTAATATTTCAATGGAACATGCACCAAAAGTATGTTGGACTAGCAAAATATTGAACCTGTCAGACCAATTGAACCGATGGATCTGATCCAGATTTAAAAACTATGGTTTCATCACCTTGTTTGGTTAGGACGTGGAGAGAATTATACGTGTAAAATCATTATCATTTTTGTAAAATTTTTAATCAGAAATATTGTCAACTTTTTTTTTAACTGGCAAGGATATCCGAGTGTCCTTTCATCTCCCGTTAAAAGACCATTTAATAGTTAGATGAGATATTAATCCCTTTCAGACCATGTTAAAAGGCTTTTTTAAAATATCAACTCTATAACTCGATCATGAGATCACCAAAGGTGGAATTTAGTCGCTTCAATCACTAACCATGCTATCTTGGATTATCCTTATAAAATTTTAATTATTATATTTTGTGAGTGATATTCATTTTGAACCAAGTGACTTCCGCATATCAGATAAGACATGAGAGAAATTTTGTACAATTTTGTCTTTTTGAAAACTTGCTCACCTAGCAACTGCGTATGAATTTAAAATATTAAATGTTAATGTAGACACTGTGCTACCAAATTTTATTGATAAGTAAAATCTATTCGAATTTGAAGATCTAAATTCTCCAACAACAAAGAGTTAATAATTCATTTTATGTTTCAAACTATAAACACAACTTTTCACACGAGGAAACATGAGAAGACACAATAAATAAAAAATGCATATCCCCGCTAAAAGAGTATCACAAATACTCTGCATCTATTTTCCAAATAATCACAAATTTAGAAGTTATAATAAGAAAACCAAATAAAACAAAAAAATTTTTTCAATTACAACAAAAACTTATTTATTTAACTAAATTATCTGTTATCTCACATTATTAATATTAATATATGTAATATATATAATATTATAATGATGATGGTATAATTGCAAAACATGATGGTATAACTTCAAATGGGAGCAACTATAATGCATCTTTAAAAGTTAGGATAAAAAAATTTATTTTGAAAGATTTAGATACAATTGTAATTTTCCAAAAAGGTTCGGCTTTTTTTATCGTTAGCTTATAAGTTTTTGAAATTATTATTTTACTATAATATATTACTCAAAAGTCCTATTACTTTTTTGTTGGTACATTAGAATTTAAATGAATTCAAAAAGGGATAACTGTAATACTAAAAACTAAGAATATAATTTCCATCACTGAAAAAAGTATTTATGGAATGGGATAACTACAAATTCGAAACGAGAATAGTCTCATATTCAAAGGATATTAAGATATTCGAGATTAGGGGCGTCAAAATGGATCATAACACGAGAATACGATTCTTCTAACATGAAAATTAAATAGATTAGAAATGAGTTTAAATGGATTCGTATTATAAATAAATGAGTCATTTATGGAATGAATTTAAATGGGTTGTTTACGTGTTAACTCATATAATTCATCTAACTATTTAATTAAGAGTGAAAAAATAATTTTATATATAATATATATACTAATTGGGTTATACGTATTACATGTGTCAAGTCAAGTTTTTTTTGACACGCATGGTTCATATATAACACTTTTAATTAGAAGGTCTATATTGTGTTTACGAATCGTGTTCGCATTAACTCCAATCATGTCGCATGTTAAATTCGAATCCGTCGCGCCAATCGGGTTTTAACACCCCTACCCAAGATATAATAACAAAATTATATAATAATTTATCACTTTACATTAAAAATTCATTCCTTTATATTTAAATTATAAAGACAATAATATATCTTGTTAATTTAACTGATTAGAAAGCCAATAAACTTAATTTGTTCCTTAAACTGACGGCCTTCAGTTGACAGTCATTGCAATGTCCAGTGTAGCCATCTTCCTCATATGCAGGAGATCAGGAAATTGTGAACCTCCTTCTAAATATTCCTGTGTACCAAATAAAACTGCACAACTAAATGGAAGAAAATTTCCAAGGCCATGTAACTGAAAAAGAGAAAGAAAAATGTTACCTGAAACCAAAGATTTCAACTTTGCATTCTTTAGGTTTGTCAGCAAAATCAACTTCAAATTGCTTGATGTCCTGACATGCTATTAAAGAAGGCATCCCATTCATCTTTAATAATCCAATTTCAAACCCAATGTTTCCACTTAAAACAATATCTAGAACTATCTGATTGTTCTTTGCACTTGCTTGTAATTTCTTGGCATAATCTGCATTAACCAAAGAATTCCTGACTTGGGTTCTCATGTTCAAGAATGTCAGGTTCTTTGCCTTCTGGGAAAATCCGGCTACCATTGTCTCTCCCAGTTGGATATGATCCAAGAATAATTGAACCTTTATCCGGCCATAGTCGAGGACAGTCTCTTCATTGTCGTTGAATACCTGGATTTGTGTTAGAACATTAGCATCCAAGAGAGTGAAATTTCTGTCTGGAAAATGTAGCCAAGGGAAGTCAAGCTTTGAAATGGAAACTATAGGCAATGCTGGTTGGAGTTTGAATACGAATACAAGGTAAATTGTGAGAATGAAAAATGATGCAAAGAATAATCCGAAGAACATCCATCCGTAGCATAGGAAACAATGTGAACGGTTTCTTTCTTCTTCTTCGTCTTCGTCTTCATCTTCTTGCTTTAATTTTTCTTCTTTCTCTTTGGTTTCTTTTTGTTCTTCAAGCTCCTGCTCCGGTTCTTCCGCTACAGAAGGGAGCGGGAATGCAATGGAGAGGATTGACCTTTTTGAGGAAACAGGAGAAAGATGAGGAGGAGGAGGAGGAGGAGGAAGAGAAGGTGGAAGAGGGTCTTGCAATGGGGGAGCTCGAGAGTAGCTAGAAACCCCCATTCTAGCTAGCCTCATTATTGGAGTTCCATCGTCTCCGAGCCTGAAGGATAACCAGACCAAATTTTGTTTTGGATGTTGGGTGTAATTTGTAAGTTTGAAAATGTTGGCTTTAAGTTTTCCACGTTCGGAAGGACCTCATCCATTTTTGGTAAATCTCATTGTCAATGCTTGACTGCTTGTAAAACTGCCACCATAGCGGTTCAAAAAAAAAAACAGCCATTATAGCAAAATTAATAATAATAATAGTAATAATAATAATAATAATAATAACAATAACAATAATTTCATTCAAGTTTGTATGTTTTATCTCTCCCCCTCTCTCTGTCTGAAAACCTAAAAATTCTTTTCTCTTCTTTCACGGTAGCCCTTCTTCCACAGGCAGCTACCAGTGAGCTCTCGCCGTTGGTCACCCTTTTCTTTTTTTTTTTTCTGATTTTTTGCAAATAATTCTCATATTTGTTTACTGATCTAAATTATTATCGTCCATATATTGAATTTATTGTTGCCTTTGAAATTTTGTCCTCAGATTTAATTTTGAGTTATTATTATCACAATTATAGTAATTCGGTCTAGAGTCTTTTATTATTTGGATAGTTATGCAGAGTTGCCTTTTGAAATTTGTCCTCAGATTTATTTTGAGTTATTTATTATCAACAAATTAATAGTAATCGGGTCTAGAGTCTTTATTATTTTTGCGATAGTTATGCAGAAGAAATACATATCTCTCTCTCCAACAAAATGAAGAAATTTTGAAAGTAATAGATCGGACTGTAGAAAGCGACCATTGAAATCAAACAGTGGTCTGATAACCACCAAGTTAGAGCAAGCGACTTGCTATGATGTAAATATTATTATTCTATCAATAGATCGGACTTGTAGAAAGACCATGAAATCAAACAGTGGTCATGAATAACCACCAAGTAGAGCAAGCGATTGCCTATGATGTAAATATTATATTCTATCAACTCGATCATACACTTCAAATTAAGATTGTGTTTTTATTTTTTTAATTCTTTATATAAGCAATTTATAATTAGGCTTTCTATATAAAAATATAAAAATATATTGATTTGTATCTTATATTTGTATACAGTTTCCAATTAATTTAATGAAATTCTAGTTAAATTTTTCTCAAAAAAAAAACACAATAACAATAATAATAATAATAATAATAACAATAATAATAATTTGTATCTCTGCTTTTGGGCAGTTCAACCATCCATGGAAAATATGCATTCCCACCAGCCAAAAGTATGAAGGAACATTTGAAAAATTATTGATTCAAAGGTCATCAATTCATTCAGAATGTTGAATTAAATATTACAACAAATCAAGAGAAACCCACCTAATTGAAATTTTTTAAAAAATGAAAGCTAAAACAAAGCTGAAAATTTTTTTTGGACAAATTCACACTATATGAAGCTGCACATGCACATAAGACTTCGAAGAATGCTTTGGGAAACCTTACAAGACATGTTCATTGGAAATGTTCAATCTTGATCTTGAAATGAAAGAGCAACTTTTAGTCGATCATGGAGTCTGCAAATTTGAGTCCTTAGATTTATTCTCCTCAGAAGATGGCCGGTTCTCTGAGTCGGATTGCCGAATTTCTTCAATCATTCTGACAACTTCATCCATGTTTGGTCGCATGTCCGGCACCTTTGCTACACAAGCCATCCCAATTTGTAACATTTGCACCATTTCTTCTTCAATATTTTGGTATCTCATCAGCTCAACATCAAAAACCTCAGCTGTCCACTCTTCCCTTACAACCGACTGCACCCAGCGAGGGAGATCGACCATGTCGTCACGTGCTGGTGATTGGAGTGGAGCTTTTCCTGTCAGCATCTCAAGCAGGAGCACCCCAAAGCTGTAAACGTCTGATTTATGAGTGTGTTTACGGGTTTCAATAACTTCAGGCGCACGATAACCTGCACTCCGAGATGGAGTTGCAGGAACATTCATAAGAGGGGTCAGGCCAAAATCAGAGATGCAACCATCATGTTCTTGGTTGAGGAGGACATTTGAGGACTTTATGTTTCCATGAGTAAATTTCGGACCACCTGCAGAATGGAGGTGAGCAATTCCCTTCGCAGTTCCGAGAGCAATCTTTACTCTAGTATCCCAGTCTAGTGGAGTTCTACCTGCTTGCCTATTTCCTGTCATCAAACAAAGGTTGATTTTACAATATAAGCAAAATTATCTAGATATGGAAATAATAAGTTGCTGCAAATGAAATTATCCATAAATTCCATGTAAAAATAAATGGAAACATCATTCAATTGCTTGTAAGGCCACTTGTAGAAAAGCTTCTTATGGGTTAAAACATACCATGCAAAAGTGCAGATAAGCTGCCACCTTGGATATAGTCATAAACTAGAAGCTTCTCATCCTTTGAGTAATAATAAGCGCGGAGTGGAACAACATTTTGGTGCTGCCCAACCCTCCCCACAATCTCCATCTGCTGTTCAAAATCTCTCTTCCCCACCAATACTTCCTTCAACCTCTTCACTACAACTGTTGTTGATTCCTCCAATACAGCCTTATAAGCAGTACCATAACTACCCTTTCCTAATACTTCAGCAGAAGCCCTTAATAAATCCTCAAGGTCAAAATTGTACGAGCAACCTTCAAAGAACACCAGCTTGTTCTTCTCAGGTTCTTGCACTCCACTCCCAAACTCCTCCTTGGGCTTCTCGCCCCTCCCACCACTAACAGCCTTCCCTTTCAATACACTACTACCACCGTTATCCTTTTTCTTCAAACAGCAGCACAAAATGATTAAAACGAGAAGAAACAGTATTGCAAACCCTCCTACAGCAATGGCAATTATGGCTCCCATTGCCAGTTTTGTTTTCGAGCCTCGCTTATGAGGGGTTGCTGGTGGGGGAGAGGAAGCAGGAGAAGGGGAACGTGGAGGCACAACAGGGGAGCAAGGATTAAGAGGCAGTCCACATAATAGAGAGTTTCCAATGAAGGATGAACTGGGGAACTTTTGAAGGGACAATGGAATGGAGCCATTGAGATGGTTGAAGCTTAAATTCAAACGCCTAAGCCTAGTGCGGTTAAGATCAGGAATGGGTCCAGAAAGGGTGTTGTTCTGTAAGTTCAAACCTGTGAGTTGTGTCAAATTTGCTATGGTTTGAGGAATGTTGCCTGAAAAAGAATTAAATGAGAGATCCAGTACATTGAGTTGTGAGGAAAAAGAAGTAGGAATTTTGCCAGAAAAGTTATTGCGCTGGAGGTAGAGGTAGTGGAGTGATGGAAGAGAGGTAATGTCAGAAGGAAGATCACCGTACAGAAGATTGGATCGAAGACTAAGGACCCTAAGGGCATCTAGTTTACTTAGTGTATTGGCCGGGATATGGCCAACAAACCCCACCCCAGGGAGTCTGAGTCTGATGACACGAGTATGATTAGAATCGCAAGTGACACCCACCCAAGAATTACAGACTGAGGAAGTAGAGTTCCAATTGAGTAACCGACGATGGGGTACAGCAGCGGAGAAGTTAAGAAGGGCCTGCTTATCTGAATTAAGGTCAGCATTGGCTAGAGGAAAAAGGGGAATTAGGACAAAGATGAAATGAAAAACTGAAGCCAACGTCATGAGGAGTTAATTTGCACCGGGTATAAGCCTGGAGGCCTCACTTTTCTCCTGATTCAGAGCAGAGACAATGAGACAACATTAGGTGGCAAGCAAATAAAGAAATCACATCAAAATTGCAAGAAAAAGCCATGTAGTTATGCACTTGCAACCTAAATTGACACAAAAACAACCTCTAATTAGATTTATATTTCTCAGGTTTAAAGCAAGCAACATTCTTTTCATAATAGTGACATACAGCAAGTAAGTGACAACCTCTCACGAGATAGCATTTCCAACTCCCTCTCTCAAACACAATTCTTCAAGGCTTATTGCTGAGATTTTGAAGTTCAAAATTGAAATGTCAGTTCTGTATTAGAATTCCAAGTTCCTTTCTCAACAAACTAGTACGTACCAGTAATTAATCCAATTACCACAAACCTGTAACACCAAGACAGCCACATACACTTGAAATAAGTACAACACATCATTTGCAGTAGCTTGAAGATTTTTTTTTTCCTCTGAAATAAAAGGACCGCCTACTTATGATGTTAGAAGTAGTTAATAATGTAATTTTTTAGTGGAATTTTGCAGCAGTTATATACTCATGTTTGCCATTGAAGAAATAAAAATAATGACAATAACAATCTTGTATGGGAAGAACCCAAAACAGGGGCAAAGGCATGCAGTAGTTCAACAACCATTAATAGATTTCAACATCTTTAACTAAAAACGCTTTCCACTAATCACTCTCCACTTTTCTTATGGAAAAAGTTAAGCTCATTCTTCTTTTTTTCCCCTCGTTATTTATAACCAGCTCCTAAAGAAATGTTAAGAACAATTAGAAAAAGTAATCATATATCAAAAGCAAGAGCAAAAGGCATCACAAAATGAATAAAGCAAACAAACGTGTAATACTTTTTGGTATCATATTCTATTGCTCTCTAGATGGAATTCTTGCTCTGCCATTATAATAACTACAGGGCAAAAACATTAAAAAAAAAAAATATTGAATACCAAAAGTTCAAAAAGACAAAGATACTAATAATAAACAATGGCTTTTTTTTTTTAAAAAAAAAAAAGGGCTACCAAAGAACCCAATTTATAAGTTTTCTCATCAAAGGGCAACCTTTAAGGAAATTAGAAGTAGACAATAATCAATTAAAACACAACAAAGACCCCAAGAAGTTGTAAAATACCAGAACACGCGCCTATGGACTCCCCCTTGGAAGGAAGGTTGCTGTAAGCCTGTAACATGCTACATTGACTGCTAACACCATTAAAATATTAAACTAAACCAGAAAACTGTATCAATATTAAAGTTTAACCATACAAAAAGAAGTTCAACTCAAACTTAAATTTTCTTTTTTTCCTAAAAAGACGCTGAAACAGTTGAACAACTAAGGTACATTCAGCATCAAAAGGCAAATAAAGAAAAGAAAAGAAAAGAAGTTGAATCTTGTGCTGTGACCACCTAAAAAGTCTGAAAAAATAGCATTATTGAGATCTAAACCCAAATTTAAAGTAAAGCAAACATCACGAACGAAGAAAATTCTCTTGAAATAATCCAATTCAAACCCGGAAAAATTTTAAAAATTAAAACTTACCCACATTAGCTAGGAAGGTGAAACATTCTTGTTAGAATATAAACTCACTAATCATCCAGAATGAGACAGATCTAAAATGCAGCAATAAAATGCAAACCAAATACCCAATTACCCATATCAAATAATCTAAAAAGCACCAGAAGCATCAAAAACTGAAAAAATGAGTTAAAAATGGAAGATAAAGTAAAGAACCTGAAAGCACGCAAAATTCTTTCATACCCAGTAAGCCTTTTTCAGCTAAACAAGCTCCATTTAAGCTGCTAAAAACTCATAAAGCTCCCAAAAAGGACCCAACAATTAAGAGAACATGAATCTGTATGAAAAAAATTGTTCAGATCCAGCATTAAAGCTTGAATTAGCTGAAATGGGTAATTTTTGAAACAACATTAGAATTCAAGAACTTCGAGGATTTTCTTTTACCCCCCTCGAAGGACAAAGAACCCAAGATTAGAGCAGCAGCATTTAAGAGGGTATAAAGCAGAAACAGAGCAGGTATGTTATGTTTAACTTTGGTGTTTTATTTACTTTGAAGCTAAAAAAAACAATACTATTCAGAAAGAAATTATGCGCTGAGGAGTAAAAAAGAAGGGGAAAAAATTGAAAAAAAAAAAAAGTGGAAATTTATTTGTAATGACAGAGAAGATAGGAATAGAGAAGAAGCAAAAGAGAGTGAAGACCGGAACAGAGGGAGAGAGAGAAGGTGAAATGGAGACCAAACAGAGGAAAAGAACTCTTTTCGGGTCGGATTATTACAGTTTTGCCACTGTGAACTGTGAAGTGATAAACTAAAGCATCTTGAAACTTCAAACTCGCCTTGCATGTAACGCTAAGGTGGCATACTAGTTTTACATGGAAAAGGAAATTCTGTAATTTAATTAATTACTTTCTTCCTGTTTTTTGTTTGTTTGAAAGGATAATTAATTATATAGTTTGAAAGGATAATTAATTAATTAATTACTTTAATTATCCTTTCTTTCTTTCTTTCTTTCTTTCTTTCTTCGTTTTTTTTTTTTTTTTTTTTTTTTGTTTGAAAGGATAATTAATTACTTTCTTTCTTTTACTATTTATATAGTTTTATAATTGCATTTTAGAAATCAAGTAGTCTTCAAAGTTTCAAAATTTTTTCTACTCTTTTTTACGTTAATAAAAAACCATTTCACATCGTTATCGTTAATGCATTTTACACCATTTGTGTTTATTAATTTGATGATGGTTAAGTACATCTCATATAAATAGGAAATAAAATATTAAATAGGAAATAGAATAAATATGTTAAATATAAATACGCAATGTAAAGAAATAAAAAATAAAAGATATAGAAATAAATATAAAATAGAAATAAATAAAATTTCAATTTCTTTCAATTTTAAATATTCATATTCAATTTTAATATAATTTTCCTTTTGAATTCCTTTTTTTATTTTCTAATAAAATTTCTAATATGATTTAAAAATTCTAAACAACTAAAAAAAATGAAAACTTTGTTATTTTATTTTGAATTTCCCTTTCACAGAGAGAATCCAAAGTGAAGGTGAAATGAAAAGACGAAAGGAAAGTCTTATTTCTATATTTATATAATGTATATAAATAAGAGCAATGTCTATTTATGCTCTGTCACTAATATGTATTAATATTAAAAAAATAAATTTTGAAATCAGAGTAAACGTAATGGAAAATTATAGTCGATGAATCTTGAAATGAAAAATGTACCAAAGTATACAAAAAAACTTATTAACTATTGGGCTGAATTGATATATAGTATAAATTTTTCCGCACTTTTATAAAAAGATTTTTTCGTGACTTGAACTTATGATCTCTACGTCACAAGCGGACTAATTTTATAAACATAGAAATTTCCAAACTTTTATATGTCTTTTTAACTGTATCTAGAGTTTTAAAATAAATCATTTTGCTTTAAACTTAGAAAATTAATTTCAAATAATATTCAATAAATCAAAATCGAAGAAAAATTATCAATTTAAATAACTTTTTGCTTTGTTCACCTTCCACCTACATGTTCTTTTTAATAGGCTGAGCAAAATGGTCTATTGAATTAAATCGAAAATCAAACCAATATTGTTTTATTTGATTGGCTCGCTCATACCAAGCCTAGTTTTTTTGTTTATTTTGATTTAAATTGAAATTTCAAAATAACTCGGTTCAATTTTATAAAATCCAATCAATTAGGCTTAAAATTGAAGCAATTTTATAAAAATAAAAAAAAGACCGAATCAAGTCGATTTGATTTGATTCTTATAGTAACTTCAGTTCCCTTTGATTCTAATCTTGGAAATTTGGCTTCCTTCTAAAATTCGATTTTGAATCGAATCGACCGTTTGCCACCCCTACTTTTTAAGCCTGAATTCAAAATAATTTTATTTTTTTATCAAAGATAATAAAATTTTTATGAAAAGAAAGTTATAAAATTATACTTTTTTATACATTTATAGGGAGGAAAAAGGAAGGTAAAGAGAGATAAAAGAGCTTGGAAAGAGAAACAAATATAAAAAATATTTTTTATTTAAATTAATATTAAAATATTTTATGTTGTTCGATATTAACTTGCTGGATGTAATTGAAACTAATTTGTTAAGTTTAGAGTATAATTAATCATTTTTCAAAGTTTGGAAACAATTTAAAAATTCATATGGATGTTCGCATTTTTTCCCTTAGTTCTTTTTTTTATATGGAAATTATTATTTTTTTCAAATCTCTTTCTTGTACATTTCTTTTGATTTAGGATGAGAGGAATTCAATTCAATTTTTTTAATACATAAAACTTGGAGAGCATATCCTTTTGCCTTTAAAATATAATCCATTTAAAATAAATGTTTATATCATAGAAGCCCTATTTTAATTTAATTTTAAGTTTCAAATAATTATTAATTATTAATAGTTTTCCAAATATCAAGACATTAAAATAGATATCAATGAATTCCATTTAAGCTTAAATTATTAAAAATAAAATTACTATAAAAATTTAAATTCCTTAACGAATTAAATAAGAAAGTGAAAATTACATATTATATTTTTACTTAGATTCCATTTGTTTCTGGAAAATATTTTCTTAGAAAAATTTTTTCCTTGAAAATATTTTTCAAATGACTTATTTTCCGTTGTTTGGTTGGAATATTGAAAATTAGTTTAAAATATTCAATTTTTTAACTAATAAGACCATAAAAAATTAATAATAGAAGAAATTTCGCATTTTAAAAAATGTTATTATTAAATATGAAAAGAATGCAAAAAAAAAAAAAAAAAAAAAAAAAAAAAAAAAAAAAAAAAAAAAAAAAAAAAAAAAAAAAAAAGCAAGTTATGAAAATAACTGGTGAATGATGGTGGTGGACGGTGTTAGCCGATGGTGGACGGTGGTGAATGGTCGTAGCGACTACCATAATTAATAAATTAAAAAAATATGAATTTATAATATTATAATAAGTTCCTCTCTTGAAAATGAGAAGTCATTTTCATTAAAAATGATTTAATTTTTCATTTGAAAATAAAAATTTTCATTAACTTATTTTTCTAAATATCCCAAATAACGAAAAATTGTAAAAAAAAAAATTTATGCAAGTTATGTACAGAAAAAAAAAAAAAAAGAACCTTAGTATTGCAATAATATAATATCATGATATTGTTTGCATATATATTTTATCAAGACTTCTCTTTAGTTTTATAGAAGGCAATGAAATGAATTGATATTTGAATTTTAGTCAAATTAACATGTAAGTATTTTTATTTTAAAAAACTAACTATAAAGTTTCTAATTTATGATTTCATCGACTTGTTAGTCATTATGTATAAAATAATCTCTTTTAATTGTCAGTTGCCTGAGAAATTAGTTCATAAATTATAGTCAAACTCATTATGAAGTTTCTAATTTATGATTTCTAGAAATAGTTTAGTCTTTTTCTTATGATTTTTATTAACACTTTAATCCATTTATTTTGAATAAAAGAATTAAGGTATTAATAAAATTATAATTTAGAGATCTCGTAATTAATTTTTAAAAATAAAAGTATTCGTATATTAATTTCACTATAATTTAAAAACACGTTATTTTTGTTGGATTTAAAACTTTATCACGTCTTGATGAAGAGGACTAGAGGAGAGGGCTGAGTAGAATTAAGTAAAACCCATAAATTCAAATTTTTCGGTTTAGTTCAATTTGATTTTTAAAAATTCAATTTAATCTTGATTTTAATAAAAATAAATTTTTTGTTCGATTTGAAAAATATAAAATGATCAATTTGGTTTAACTAAAAAAAAATTAAAAACTGAATTAATTCAATTTGACTTTTCTGGTACAAAATTAAATTTATTATATATTTATATTGATTGAATTTGATTTGAATCAAACCGAATAATGAGCGACTTTAAATATTTTTTTTGACTTTGTGACTAATTATAAGAGTATTTACTAGGGATCATATTTGACTTTTGATCTAAATAAATATCAAGACCAAATGCAAAATTTGTCCTTTATAAAGGTAATTTAGTCTAAAGAAATCACATCTTGAAATTCAAAAGGAAGTCAAAATTACACTTTCAAACATTGAACTCAATTGAGGCTGCCCCATGGAAAGGTGCTACTCCAATTAGTCCTTTTTGACAGACTGTGACCTTACAACAACAAAGTCTCATCTGATCTCAATGAGAGCTTCACTTTTTCACAATACCATTAACTTTTATTATAATTTATTAAATATTTTAATTTATAAAATTATTATTTCCAACCTTTTAACTTATAAAATTAGATAAATTTAATACTTATTAAATAATTAAAAATATAAAATTTATTATTTTAAAAGTTATACTAACTACATATTAAATTAATAATATTATACTACTACATATTAAAATTAAAATAATAAAAATTTTAAAAAAATTAGTATTAGTATGGAGAGATATAATGGTGTCAAAATTCATAAATTTAAAGACAATAAATTTTCCGTAAAATTGATAAACCTAATGTCGGTTATTAAAAAATATTTTAAAAAATAAAATCATTTTATTCTAATATGTTTCTATTACTACATCCAGTGCTGCTTAATATATTTTACATCAATTCTACTTGAATTTGAATTCCAATTTAATTTTAACTTTGATTTGAACCTTGACCATGACTAAAAATTTGAAACCACATTAGTTGATTTCTTATTATTCTTTTATTCTCTTTCTCTGATTCATATTAAAAAAAAAAAAAAAAAAAAAAAAAAAATCTTAGTGTGGACATATATTATAGTCAGGAGGTACAATTTTGCTGACACATTGAACAAGTTAAGATGATGGCATTAAAGAATTTCACATTGGATTCATGGTATGAATACTATGAATGAATCTCAAGAAAGAAAGGTAAATTTTCTTCTTTACTTTCACATTGTATAACAACTTTTTATTGCACAACATTCTATAAATTCACATCCTAAATCAAACCCAATTAAGAACAGACAAAACATTTTAGGTTAAGACATAAATGTCAAAAAAAAAAAAAGTCTCATGCATGATTTTAAATTTTTTATCCTCTATAAGATAAATGCTTCCAACCTCAATTAGATTAATAAAACCAAAATATACTTTAGATTAAGCAATGAGAAATTATTATAATACTCTCGAGAATTGTCATAATTTCAATACTTCAATTTCTAATCAAAAGTAATAATTTAAGTTCTTAAAGACTCAACTGGTAAGACATGATTCAATTTAGCAAATGATTTTCATAAGTTTAAAGAATTGAATTTGTGAAAAATATTAGTAAAAAGGGCGGTCACA